TCCTTCCCCCGGTCACGACACTGATAACACACCCTGGCAACCTCAACCTGACCACCCCTTCCCAGCAAAGCAGCAGGTCCATCTCCTGCTTGTGCCGTGGGTTCACCAATGATTTCCTGTGCAGCTGGGTGGCATCAGGAGAGAGAGATGACAACCACCTCTAAGGGCTGGTGCTAATTATCACACAGAAACAAGATTCGCAGTCATCGAGCTGGCAGCACCAGGCATTTGCTTCTCAAGACACAGGGCAGCACTCCTCTGCTCTGTTGGCTCCCTAGAGTGTTATGTTCAGTGGGAAGGGTTGTTAAAGTTACTATGAAAGGGTAATCTATTACAAATTACTCATTAATGCAACTGAAGAATCAGTGACATATTACTGATTACGCCCGTGTCACGCTAGCTCAGTGGCAAGACTTGGTTCATGCAGCAGATTTGTCTTGTGCTTTTCATAGCAACCTTCTCAACACAACTTACACACACAGAGCTTCTTTTCTCCTCCTCACCTGGATGAGTACGTGGGCCTTGCATTTTTGGAGCTGCTGTGCCTGGCTGCACATGTGCTGCCTCCCGAGTAGTCAAATTGCTTTAACACCTTGCAACTACCCGGTTGCAAATTTGAGACCCTTTGTGTCCGTTTCTAGCAGGTACTGGGATGCGCTAAGCCTCCAGGCTGTGCCAGCAGCCGTCTGCGCTGGTAATGCTTGGCAGTTTTTGGAAAGCAAGCTCAGCAGCTGAGCCACCGGGCTTTCCCACCTCTGCCGGCAGTGGGTCGGGGCACAGCCAGCTCTGCGCAGGTAAGATCTGCTCTGTCCTATGCTCATCTGAGCCCACTTCCAAAATCTCACCACCTCAGTGCGAATTGCTGGAAGGCTTCTTTGCTGGCTACAGCCCCTTGGCTCTCCTCCAGGGATAGAAAAAACTCTAATCATCTTCCTACTAGTTTGGCACCATCAGAGTGTTGCTGCTGCTTCTGCATGAGAAGTTTTGCCCACAGTAGGAGCCAGGACTTCGTGCAAGATCTTCACACACAGCTCCAGAGCCCACATCTAACATCAGTCTCAGGATGGGCATGGCTGACCAGCAACAAGTCATGAGAACAGCAAGCGCTCGCTATATATTCAGTCCTCGATTTATTCATCTCAGCCATAGATGGGTCTCGAGCATAAAAGAATTATGAAGAATGAGGCAAGAACAGAGAGGTATCTAACACCGAAGCTGGGACGGAAACAGAAAGCATAGATCAGGAGAGAAAAGGGAATGCAGTGGGAACAAAGAAGGAGGTGCCCAAAAGTGTTCATTCGGGATTCCTGCACCAGAGTCAGAGTAAAAGCTCCAAGGAATTTGCAAAGTTTGGAGCAATAAATAGCTGAACGTGCTTGGTGCCACCAGGCAGGTAGGGGCCACATCCATCTCGGAACAAGGCGTGGCCGACAGGCAGAATGGTTGGGCGAGATTCAGTAAAAGGCTAAAACTATCACAAAACCCAACAAAATTGGAAGAGGAGAGGCTCCAGAGAAGCCAACAACCAAAATATATGTCTAAACATATCAATGACAAAAAACTTTGGAAATGTGAGAAAAAGGAGAAGCAGCTGAAAGGGACACAAGAGCAGAGCAAGAAGTGGCCTGAAGTGGTTTATTCAGGTGATGACCAGGGGCAGCGTCCTGCTGGCATCTGGAGCTGGACATCTCTGCAAGACCAAACCTTCAGGGTTTCACATGAAAACCAAAGGGTAGGGCTTACTGGTCTGCTCCTGGCAGGAGGTCAGATTGGATGGAGCTTGGAGAGCTGCTGCTGGCCTCCTGAAGCCAGCCGGCACAGCGGACGCAGCTCCCCATGGCACCGCAGGATGCAGCTACACGCCTTTTATCATCGGAGTCAGATTGTTCCTCCACGGGACGCAGGAAAGCTCCGCTCTCCAGCTTCGCAATGAGCCACTTCCTTTTTTACTTTTTTTAGGATCAGAATTTCTTTTCTCTTCCTCCTCCACCTCAAATA